CGTGCGTATGCGATGCGTGAGTGTAGGCGACGGGGACGAGGTCGAGGAATGAGAAAGGGAACCGGAGCGCAGCAGTAAGCGTCGTGCACGACGCAAGCGCCTACTTAGATCAAAATGGTGTCCATTTTTCCATTAGAGACCAGTGAGACACAAGCGAAGGATGGGGTGCGGTGTACTCGAAAAATCTCATCCGGAAAGTCACTTGCCGTTTTACAAAATTTTCAAGTTCAGCCTTCGTACAGGGTGGCCGCTCTGCCCCGTTGTTTTTAAAAAGGTAGACTAGCCCGCCCGCACCTACCTTTCCCGTCCCCTCTCACCTCCCCTCTCTGTCTGCGAGCGGGCTCGTCTACCTTTTCAAAACAACGGGGCGGATCGGCCACCCTGTATCCAGCAAACGTAAGCCACATAGCCTGGTACGTAGGCAATGTCTTGCGTGTAGCGCCTGCGTGTGCTGCGGGGTGGCCTACCCTGAGTCGTGCAGGCGCCGAGCTCCCGTAATTTGCGACGATGAGAATGATGAAATCTGAGGATGACGAACGCACTTTCTAGACGATCCCCAACGTTTACCATCACAGATATCATCATGCATTGTGTTGGTTCCAGACTGCAATAATGGAGGAACAGATCACTCAACCTAACTCGTGAAATGCTGGTCCAGCCGCGGTGGTGTGGTACAGTCCAGCGAGCATCAGCTCGTTTGGAAGTGACAGGGAGCTATTTTCCGGTTCGAACATCTCGCTCTCACCTGTCGTTCTCACATTCGCATAAGAGCGCATTGATGACCACTCTTTGAGCGGGCTCTGCTGCTGGTCCAGTCGACGTCGACGCGACTGCAAGCTCGTCGGAATCGGCGTGGGCGTTCGGCGAAGGGAGCGAAGGGAAAGGAACTCTGCTCCTTCTCCACGACGGCGACGCCATAACCATTTGCCTACGTAATTTCTGCACGATCCTTATCACCGTCATCCGTCAGCGAGGACTAACTAGCCCAGGGGAGGGATCGGAGGGATGGACCGCCCGGGGGGTTGAGGGCGGAGGCAGCCCGGCCTAACGGGCTGATGAATGCGTTCACGGTGGCACCCTGCCCTGGGGGAGGCGTCAATGCACAGGCCCAGTCGTCCGTTGGTGTGCCCGTTCGTCTGTCCCCGTCTGTCTGCCTGCCGGCCCTTTTCGACCCAATCCTGCGAGACGCACCGAAAGACCAGCAGCAACGGCTTGTGGACTTGAGGGACCGTGACCGACGTGCTAGCGCAAATAACACCCATCGATGAACACTCCCTTTCAATTCACCTCACTTCATCCATGGGGGGTTACCCCTAGTCTAATGCTTTACCCTCAAGTCCTTGCCCCCCCCCCCCTCTCCCTGTCTCTGTCTCTCTCTGTCTGTCTGCCCCCCCCACTCTCTTTCTCCAACTCACTCACTCGCACACACACAGACAACTCACCCCCACACTCACTCATGGACGCAGCGCGACTGCCGCCTCTGCCCATCGCTCGGGAGGCTGGCTGACAATCCCGCCCTCACTGCATGCTCCCTACTTGGACTATAGTTGTCTAGTTCGACTGTAGAGAAGCTCGCCGCGGCAGAACGAGCCGAGGCGAGGCGTGGCAGGCGTGGCGTGACGTAGCGCGTAGCGTAGCGAGGCGCGGCGATGCGGGACGGGAAAGGGAGGAGGGGGAAGGGGGGGGATTGAGGGGTGGGGCAACAGCAATTGGAAAGTTCTGCCACGCGGTCCTGTCCTGGGAAAGGGAGGCGCGGAGGATGCGGGGGGCGGCGCGGCGGGTTGTGAGGGGCCGGCTGGGTGCCGGTTCGGTTTCATGCTAACTTTCCGCCTAAAACATGAATTCACATGAAACGAGGAATAGCAACTGGTGAACCTCACCCCGCGAAGGCGAGGAGACTTGGGAGGCAGGGGCCCTCCCCGCCGCTATGGACAGAGGAGGAAAGGGGGGAGGGGGCACAAGCACGGTCTGACGGAGAGAAATGAGGCGGAACAGTCCGGGTATGGACACAGAGTTATTGGCACAGTGCCTGCTCTCGCCTTTGTCAGGCACCCTCCCCTCCGCCCCGCTCATCTCCCTGGAAATATTATGCCGACGTGACTTGGAAACGATTCGGCGAGACACAACTTGAGCCATTAAACTTTTTGATCAGGCGGTCCAGCCGGCTCTCCAGCCGGGCTGCGCTCGCCAGGGGCTCCAGCGGGTCTCCAGCTGCACTCCAGCTGCTCTTTAGCGGCTCTCTGGTGACTCTTCATCAGCTCCCGAGCAGCTCTCAACCAGCTCTCCAGCTGCAGCAACTTTCAAGAGGCTCTGCTAGCCGGGGTGGACTCCAACGGCTCCAGAAGCCGGGCCAGCCCGCCGTCGTCGTGCCAAATAATATTATCCAGTGGTTAAGCTTTTCCCTTTCCTTTTATTTTCTCTCTCAAAGTAGTCGCGCTCAAGCGGGTGGCCACGCGCGCCATCATACTCACCCCATCTGGACTGTATTTGGACAGCGGCCCGGAACCAGAAAACTCCTCCAAGACATCGCTCAGCTTCTTCGTGGAATCTGGAATCAAAACGAAACACACAGTGCGGTCAGAACGACTCATCCGTCACGCGGTCGCTCAGAGGCAAGGGGGCAGGAGCGGAGTATGACGCGGAAGGATAACATTTCTCTCCCGCCCTTTGTTCTGGGCGGCGCGCCGGGCTGGTGGTGTTGGTATTCTGGATGAACTATCGGCCGTGCACGCGAGACGAGCTCCAGGACCCACCCGGGGGCTGCAATGAATTCTGGAGAAAGGAAAAGAATTGCTGCGGTCGAGAATTCCTCCCCGACTCCTTCCTCATGCGCCCCCCCCCCTTTTCCTTTTTTTCATCCACCCCTCGTCTCCGTATAACTGTCGCTGACTAGACGGGGCCTTTGGGGCCGCCCGCCTCCCAACCGCTGCTCCAGCTCCTCCAGCACCCGGCTCCAACTCCTAAAGCTCTTCCAGCTCCTCCTGTTCCTCCAGTTCCTCCGGGATGCTCCAGCTCCTCCAGCTCCTCCGGATGCTCCAGCTCCCCCAGCTCCCCAAACCTAGCCCCTCAAGCTCCTCCAGCTTCTCCAGCGCCTCCAGAGCCCGGCTATAGCTCGGTGCAGCGCAGTCCAGCCGGTGAGTTCCAGCGAGGCCGTCGCCGAGCGCCGGACACGAGGCAAAGAGCCGTGTAAATAAATAACAAGTTGCCAGCCTCTTCACAATCTACCAAATAGTCACGGAGCGCTTCCAACTTTTATTACATTTTACGTCGTCCTCGTCGCCTCCCTCCTCCTCTTTCATTCCCTGCCCCAGCAGTTTGGAACATCAAGGACACCCGCGTCCGTGGCGTTGTTGGGTGGGGCGAGGCGGGGTGGAAACTGGCCTTGGATCCAAGGGGATACTGCACCGGCGTGACTTCCATCCACACGAATCCACTGGACTTGAAAGTCATTTACATACTCAGTTTGTATCTGTCCACCACCAATGAGAGAAGAAAGTGGGATGGTGGAGGCGCTGGTAGAGGGAAAGAGGGAGTGGAAGTGCGAGAGAATGAGGGGGAAAGTGGGGCGCAGATGTTGGCTCTTCGTGGCGCGTTGTGGCGTGGTGAAAGGGCGGCCATCGACACTCGATACTGCTGAGAGGTCGGATTGCTCGCGGGACTTTACAAGGAGCTCAAAGTGTCAAATAATGGGAGTGGAATGGGACACAGTGCGGCACGCGGCCGACAACAGCCTGCGGACAGGAAACGACGCAAAATCCAGCAAGACGAGGGGAGGAGCAGGGGAAGAGGGCCCAGGGCTCAAGGGAATAAAATATTGCCTTGGGGGAAAAAAACGGCTTATTCGGGACAGTATTACGGTAGGGTAAAAAATAATCACGGAAAGAGCGCGGTGAGGGGCGACAGAGATGTAGCGACGGACTTTCTTTCTTTCTTTTTTTTGTTTTGTTTAAAGTAACATCGTGCTGTTTTTTTCATTATAATATCTCGTTTGGCTCGCGAGGCGGCTGCGGCGCCGCGTCCAAACGCCCCCGACGCTCTGTGTATCTTTATATCTCGTTTACGGACGCTCCCTCGGGAGCCTTTAAATTGTGCGCCCGAGCACTTTGAGCCCTACGCCCAGCCCGACACAGCGATAGCGTCTCTCTCTCTCTCTCTCTCTCTCTCTCTCTCTCTCTCTCTCTCTCTCTCTCTCTCTCTCTCTCTCCCCGCGCAATAGCGCCGCCAACCGTCGACCGCACCGGAAAGAAGGGGCGGTAACGACGTATGAAAGATAAGAAGGCCGGGGTAGGGCGTGCCTCGCCACCCCCTCCACCACTGCTCCCCCCCCCCTTTTCCTCTCATCCGGAGCGGCCTAACGCCCGACGCGCGCGGGGTAGGCCACCCGGCGGACAGGGCTGCGTCGCGGGACAGGCTACCTCTCGGGCGGTCTGCGGCCGCGGAGCCCCCGGAGCGTAGCGTGCGGGGGCAATTCCAGGGAGTATTCCGTCGTAACGCGGTTTGTGTCTGTGGCCGACTAAGAGGTGCTACAAATGTGTTCAAAACATGACTAGCCGCGTCTTGAGATGGCGAATCTGGACATACATTGCAAAATAACGTAGCACCTCTCAGTCGCTTACGAATCGCGTAACGTTCCAACGTACCGTCTTAAAGGCAATACATAGTGTTGCGTGTTTGCCTGCCAACCCGATGTGCCCATAAGGCACCATGGCGTCTTGGCATGGGCACTACTGCGCGCCTTTGCACTCGGTACGGACATTTTTTTAAATCATTTTTCCTAGAATTGCCCACGTCCGTGTGGCAAAGTCAGAAAAAGACGGACAGCCGCGCGGACAGATATCTTTAATGTCCGCCTCCAGTAGTAGTTCCACTCATCGCACGAGGGGGGTCCGCGATTGTCCGTGTAGTTGTGATCGTAACGATCTGTGCCATCATCTGAGGGGAGGAGAACCACTATGCTGCAATTTTGGCAACCTGACCCACAGCGTAGGCTGCAGCCGAGGGGCCATCACAGTGGAGCTACCAACGGGCGAACTCAGCAGCAGCAGCAGCAGCAGCAGCAGCAGCAGCAGCAGCAACGGCAGCAGCGCGAAGTACTACACCACGGCGCCGGCGTGCCCCGCCAATGAGGCTAGCTAAATGCAAGGGAGGCGGCACTGCTGCTGCCATCTGGACCGCTCCTGCTTCGCTTTGAGCCTTCCATGACCCCCCCCCCCCCACACTTCCCTCAGGCTCCGAGGTGCCCCTCACACAGACACACACAAACACACTCTGAGGCGTAAGGTCGTAGGTACGCAGGGCCGAGGCCGAGAAGGGTGACAAATCGAAATGGCACACGGCGAAGGTTTGTTCAAACAAGGCTCAAGAGAAACGTTATGGCCGTAATCGTAATCGGGGCAGCGCAGCGAGCGTGAAATGGATAGAAATGGATACGGTCGAGGTTCACGTTCTGTAGGCCGATGCTGCTCCAACAGGTGGGGCCGGGCGCCACTGCAGTGCGGCGCGGCGGCGTCGACTGGGAAAAGTATTACCCTCGGCGGCATCGGCAGTGCGTCGTGTGCCGACTAGAAAGTGCAGGTGTACGACACTTGTACGACACACGCCTGATGTAGGTGTTCTATGAATTTTTGCACACCTGCAGATGTGTGAGTGAATGAACACCCACAAAATTAAAAGGCCAACTTTTTAAACGTATACGAATCTCTATCCGACCCGACCACAAACAAGTGTATGTGAATGTTTTGTAGCCACCTGCAGGGGTGTGGATGCTTTGTCGCACACCTGCAGGTGAGCGACATCCGACTACTACTTCGATTTCCAATGCTACCGCGGAATTACTGAGGTCTCACAGAGGAAACAAAGGATGGGGCGGCAAGTAATGGAAACTAGGGCTAAAGTAAGATTGGAAATGCTGAGCATCGTCCTGGACCAGACGGCCTTTATTGATTTTACCATAAAACGCCCGACGAGCGTGCTAAATAACGCAGCCATATGTCGATGTTTGTGTCTCGGGTGTTGTTTTTTTTTAAGCACAGAAGGGGATGAGGGAGGGGGTGTCGGGGTCACGAGTCTACATCGCATTTGCGCCGCTGCCGCTGCTGCTGCTTGCGGTCAGGAGCGGTCGGGTCGCTCGGCTAGGGGCCCGGGGGAGGGATAGGGGGCCAGGGTCTGGTTGGCAGGCGCCAGTTAACGAGCCAATTTGTGCGCTTTTACCCAAACAGTGTTGCGACGAGAGCGGCGCGCGCTCGCCTGCGACTACCTACACCACCCCGCTGGCTCCGAACAGCCACCGCAAGGTGGGGAGGGAGGGTCCGAGGCGGGGTGGGGCTCCTGCTGGGGACTTGCTGCTGCGCTGTGCTCCTCAGCAGGAGGGAAAGAGTTCAGAGCGGAAATTCTATGCTCGGAACTACAAAATAAAATTGTTCGGAGACGACTTTTCAAATTACAGTAATAATCCCTACAAAGAAGCGACATTTTGTTTTGAAGCTAGACTCAGCCGATGTATGTATGATTCTTTGGATCCTGTCTTTTTGAAAAATGTTCCATGGTTTTCCATTTTGTTTGGTTTGGTCTCCGCAGTTTTTTTGGGGGCGTCTACCCTCGAACTTTAGTTGTCGACCCATCGTGGAGGACCGATGGCCGTTGGAGGGTGCGACTTGCGGCGACAGTGGGAGCGGAGACGGGGGTGGGGTGGACAGAGAATGCGTGTGTGTGGGGTTGTGCGTTTGTGTGTGTGTGTGGTGGCGCCTGGTATAGCCCCCACTGGTGCACAAAATGTAGAGGGAGGCGGAGCAGACCGGAAAGGGAAGGAGCCAGCAGTGCGTGTCCTTTGCGCTGTGCGTGTGTGTGTGTGTGTGTGTGTGTGTGTGTGTGTGTGAGTGAGATAGAGAGAGAGAGAGATAGAGAGAGAGAGAGAGAGA